CTCCTCCTCCTCCTCCTCCTCCTCCTCCTTCTTCTTCTTCTTCTTCTTCTTCTTCTTCTCCTTCTTCTTCTTCTTCATCTGGCTCTTCTACTTTTTTTGAGAGGAGTATTGGTTTCTGAAAGTAATTCCACCTTAGCTGCTTGTAAGATTCTTTAATTTAGTCACACTTCGAATTATATCACATAGTAATTTCTTGTTTATTTTCCATCTTATTTAGGAATATAAGTGCTATAAAATCAGGTTACTTTGGCTTATTCACCAGTGAATCCCCAATGCCTTGAAAAGCACATAACAACTTAGGCATTTAATAATATTGAATAAATAGGCAGCTGGATTCATTTAGATGAAAAATAATAAAGCCACATTAAAAAATTTACATCTAGATGCTTACTGACCTATATCTAGTAGTTTCTACTACTTATATCTCCATTGATATATATTTTCTCAGTAAAAATAGTTCATATTTCCATAATAGTTCATGGCTTTAGCACATGGGTTTATTAGTACACAGATATGTCTTTAGTTCTAATTAGGAGGAGATGCATAAGTGTTCTGTGAGTTTGAAAATAGTTATTTTTTCTCTATGACCTAAAAGAAGGTGTAAATGAATAGAGATTATTTTATGCACATGTCCTGTTTCTTCCTGTCCTTGTAGAATACTTTCAACTCTCCTACAGCTTCATGCTTGCTGCCTTCTTCCTTTGATCAAAAGCTGCATTCATTTTGCATCCAGTTAAAAAGTTACCTTTTATAAAGACATTTTTCTGGTGATTCAATTACTCTCATCTCTATCTCCCACAGCTCTGTGTGTATTCTTCTGCTATAGTCCCTATTATATTCTCTTTATTTTATTTTATTTTTTAAAAGATTTTATTTATTTATTTGAGAGAGAGAGAGAGATAGCAAGAGCAGAAACACAAGCAGGGGGAGTGGGAGAGGGAGAAGCAGGCTTCCCGCCGAGCAGGGAGCCTGATGCGGGGCTTGATCCCAGGACCCTGGGACCATGACCTGAGCCGAAGGCAGACGCTTAATGACTGAGCCACCCAGGCGCCCCTACATTCTCTTTAGTTAACTGCTTACATGTTTGGTTTCTACCTGATTACTGAGTTTTGTGGGGTTTTTTGTTTGTTTGTTTTTGTTTTTAATAAATATCTTTGGGTCCTTAGTACCTAGCACATGGTCAGGCACATCAAAGTATCTTAGAAAATGTTGGTTGGATGCTTTAGTAAGCTTAGAATGTTATCAATCTTAGGAGTATGTACATTTTTAAAAGACAATAACAAAATGAAACTAATTTTGGAATTTTGATGAGCAATCAGTTGTGTATAGAAGCTATGGGAGAAGAGGAGGCTTTCTGAGAATCAGTGGACTCCAATATTCTGTTTATTCCTGAACTTGCATACTTTAAATCTTTTTTCATAACGAATATCCTTGGAATCAGCCTTGACTTTTAGGGAGGGGGGTATGGGCTGTCATCTAGCTGGTGTGATTTTAACAGAACCAGCAAGATTCTCCCCTGACTCTCCTCTATTTGTGTTCAAAATTCTACATATAGTGATCTCTTGCCTTGTTTTAGGTTTGGAATCATGCTGTAGACCAATCTTAAACAAAAATGTTTATACGTTCCATATATGTGACATTCCAGATAATGTCTCTTCATGATAAAAGAAGTCTGGTTAGGTGAAATGGTACATGCCTGGAGAGAGGTATGAGCAGCAGAAAAGGCAGAAGAGATATAGCAAGGATAACAAAAGGGGAAACCAAAGACCAATGGTGAGTTATTGACTCCTTTGTCAAAGTTTAATCTTCTCTTGAGATTCTTTTTTTATATTGTATTTTCTTAATCTGCCAAAATAAAAGAAAATAAATGAAAAGCTAATGCAAATAGTGCTCTAAACATCTCAAGTGTTTATTTAGTGGAATATTATGTTATGGTTCACATGTTGAAAAAGTTAGGGTTTTGAAAAGCATGTGAAGGCCATTTAGTATGCGAATAAATTTACAGAGAGATGAAATATTTTCTGTTCTAACTACTCAAATCACATATAAATATAGGTATTTTATCTTACTTTGCTCTTATTACTGCCAAATTGAATTATAATAGTTTAATGTAAATAAATTAACTATCTATACATTTTGGTTTGCTTTTCCATAGGTTAATAGCAGTTTCAGTATCTTGGGCCATGAGTACTGTCATTTGGCAATGATATTGCTCTGTACTTGAAAAAAAATATGCTTTTGTAAACTAGCTGCTTTGTCTATCACAGGCAATATTTAGAGGCTATAGATACATGTAAATGATGATGATGCTAGGGTTATTTAAGTTGGCTACAACCATTAATATCTACAAACCTTTCTCTACATGTGCCTACAATATAGAACCATGTGTTCCATATATGTGACATAATTAAATAATCATTAGTTTCTGTGAGAAAAAAAATCTATATTTTTGCACTGGAGTTTATTTACATAATGAAACGTCACCTCACACCTGTTAGGATGGCTATTTTTTTTTTTTTTAAAGATAGCAAGTGTTAGTGAGGTTGTAAAGAAATTGGAACCCTTATGCTCTGTTGGTAGGAATGTAAAATGATGCAGCCACTATGAAAAATAGCATGGAGGGTCCTCAAAAAATTAAAACTGGAACTACAATATGATCCAGCAGTCCCTTTTCTGGGTATTTATCCAAAAGAATTGAAATTGGGCTCTAGAAGGGATAGCTGCGCTCCCATGTTCATCGCATTATTCACCATAGCCAAGTTACGGAAACAAACCAAATGTCCACAGGTTAAAGAAAATGTGGTAAGTGCACTTAAATTTTTTTTTTTTCAAGAGAATATTAAATCGTTTATTGATTACACATGATAATGGATGATACACAAGCTTTAATCCCATCTATAATTTTATCTGATACCATAATTCAATTTAGATATATTGCATAGGATGTGCCAACAATCATATTAATAACCAAATAAACTCCAGGACTTTGCTT